TATTCTTGTAAGTGGAGAACCTGTTGTAGTACTTACACTGTAAAATCTAAGACGTACTTTATGTGTTGGGCATACGAACTTAGTATACAGTAAGTGTTGCACACTAATGTACGCATGCCAGTAAAATTCCTTCTCATATCTTCAGTTACGGAGGAAACATAAGTGGACGACAGTTTTTCTTGGTGTAACATCCGTAAGCTGGAATTGATTAACTAACAGAGAGAGAAAGAGAGAAAAAATAGGAGAATGTAAGCAGATAGTTGAAGGGCCAAAGGCAATGAATGAATGATCGATCTATATTTCTGAAATATCATGAAAGATTTATTTATCAGCTAAATTGAAGAATTTTCGAGGTGCAGAGAGACAAAAATATATCACTGATGTATGACGTAACAAAGATAATAGATCACGTTAAGGCCTTGGTTTAACGTAATTTGTCACATTTTCTAAAATAAAACACAAAACCTCACAGGGTCAGATTAGGAGGAGGGCGTGGAGGGAGGAGGGAAGGAGGGCGGGTCATGGGTGAAGTATAAATAGAGAGTGAGGAGCTGCACAAGGCACAGTCTGGCTCTCACCTCACACACAGTCAACATGAGGACTCTGGTAACTATCATCGCTGGTGTTGTGCCCTGAAGGCTCTTGGAGTACTCAGGTCCTCCTCAGTATATGCATTAGGTGTTCCCTCTTGAGTTCCTCTATGTGATTAATTCTAAGTTATATTCTCTCCACCATCCATCGCCTGTATAGACTCTTGGACGTATAATGAAAAAAAAAAATCTATAAAGAAATGATCTTCATTACTTAAGATTATAGAATCAAAATTAGATCATTCAAAGATTAAAACTATGGTGTAGCTTATTAAGACTTAATCTTAGGACGAATTTCGCTGTTGTTTTTTCATTTGAGATTAACCAAGGAAAATATTGCTATCATTTATGTCGACCCTTAATGGCTAAACTGTCCCCCTTCCCTCAGGTTATTTTGGCAGTGATGGGCGTGTGCTCCGCCTCCACCTATCAGGCCTACGACCATGGCCACCACTACGGTGTCCCCGTCCAGCCCAAGTGGAGGGGTCCTGTGGCTGCCACCGTCCCCGCCGGCGTCGACGGTAAAGTCATCCCTGTCTCCGAAACTTACGAAGTCGCCGCTGCTAAGAATGCTTTCTTCAGGGCCTACCAGAACCAGGTGGACACTATTCGTTCCCGTCGTTATGGTACCCCAGGCTACGCCTCCGTTCCTCCCGCTGCTTACGCCCCTGTTGTCAACACCTACACTCCCGTCGTCCCATCTCATTCCTACGGTGTGCCCTCCCACTCCTATGGTGTACCCCATACCACCTACAACGTCGCCCCCGGCCCGGTCCGGGACACTCCTGAGGTGGCCGCCGCTAAGGCTCAGTTCTTCAGGACCTTCGAGAGGCAGGCAGCAGCTGCAGCCGCGGCACCTGACCACTACACCCACTACTGAGCTGGACTGTCAACTGTTACACCTATTACACTGTCGACCTCTACACCAACCACTCAGAAGCAGTGCTTCACCTACCACATAATCTGTCATTAATCATCCAACGAAAACAAGATTTCAATGTTGTATGCATAATTTTTCAAATATATGTGCAAATAGAAATAAAACTTCAGTGGAGCGTAATTAACTGTTATTTCTTTTATCAAGTCTGGAACATGTCAGAACGACTGAGAAATTAGGTAAGGGTGAACTAATCTTAGACTTCGGTGCTTTGTTCCGTCCTCCTGACTAAATGATTTCATCTAAACAGATCTAACACCGTGCGTTTCTCCCTCATGCAGATAAGACATCCTTAATCTCTATCGTCTGGTAGTGTACTGTAAGTATAGAGGTGTGGTAGCGGAGTGGATACAATCCTTGCTTCCTCTCCTAAGAGTCACTGGTCCGCGCCAGAAGCATCCTCAGGTCGCTCAGCTGAGAATGGGTATCTAACTTTATAGGTGAGGAAAGTGATGGAGGTCAAATTCTGTTGCCTGCCACTCTGTGTCCATGTGTACCAGAAAAAGACCGAGTCTACTGAGTGCTGTGTCCGCAATGTTCTTAACAGGCCGTCGAAACTACTGACTGGCCATAGTCGATCAAGTAGATCTTCATTATACATACAAATAAATAGTATAATAGTAAACATAACTAGCGTAACCTTACTTTGTGGTTTCAGTGCATCACTGGTGTGTGTGTGTGTGTCACACTAAATACGGAAGATTACGAATTAGCAATAACTTAAAGAATTTTTATTTCGAAAATTTAAATTATCTCTATATAGAGACGATCACTTCGATAGAGCAAACTATAAATAACGAGGATGATTATTAACTGATCAAATATAACTTCTCGTAAGATAATCTAATTTAACATTACCATACCTGCCCACGTCGTAAATAAACAGACTAAATTTTACTATATATGAACTTCAGTATTTTTTAGTTAACTTATAATAATTAAAATTAAAATGCATCTCAATTTCGAAAAATGTCAGTTGCATTACAAGACTTACTCGGCCAATTATCTGTTTATCTCTTTCCAGTGAAACATACACGCACAAACACACAGGAAGAATTAGTAGGGCCGTGGAGGTAACTGAACGTTCCTCTTCGTAAACAAGGTGACCCATGACGTGACCTGGCCCCAATCCTTGCAGATAAAATACAAAGCTGGAGAACTTAGTCGTGCGTGACCTCCTGGGTTGGTCCCGGGATCTTTTATATTCTCCTGGGCTTCTGATGGTCCTCCAAACAGCATCCGGAGATCTTATGTGACTCAGTGTTCACAGTCTGGTCGGGGTAGTGATTTTTATATTATTATTATTATTATTATTTTTTAATGTTTTCGTAATCTATGTGTCTGTGTTTTGTTTATTATGTGAAGAAAAAACTCATGTTTCCTGTTATAAATTTTGTGTTTCCACGTATGTTTTTGTCATGGTCACGATAAAAAAGTTACGAAACAAAGGAACTCTCCTTTATATTTGCTAATAACTGGATCATCAGGATGCCAGTAAGGTCTGACCATGGTAACCTGGGCCCACTGACCCGCCTCACACTCAGTGGTCACCTGGGCTCGTTATTACAATGTCCGTGCCACCCCCCCCCCTCCCCCCAAGAAAATTAATTCCTATCTACGCCCATGTATTATTGTTGGTGATCTGGGCCATATTATGATGGGGCCTAAAACTCTAAAATGGGCCAAGGTAAGTGACCCGAAGTTACCTTGGGCCGACTTCACCTGTATCTAGATCATCACCAACATAAATATAACTGATGAAACACAGTGACACTTGGTGAGGAGTGCTCGGTGTGATGGTTACTACTACTATTACTGCTACTACTACTACTTTTTGTTTTGGATTTTAATGTGGCCTCCAGCCTCCCCCAATAGCCACACCTTCGCCGCCATTTTATTACCGTAAAATTAACTATCCTAATACATAAGTAGCTATCCTAGATGTATTGAGTTAGTTGAGCCGCAGATCTATGCGGCATTCAGTGACTGATGCCTCATAGTCAATATTTGAGGCTGTTGTCGGCTTTGGGGCCGATGCTCTCGTTCCCCTGAGGCAGAGCAATGCAGACCTAAGGAGAGAGAAGGACAGTCGACATCTCATCCAGGCTGTAATATAACTTCTGGGCTGCTGCTTCTGTTCGGATAGCACCTCCGTGAGTCTGGCGTAGAAGCATCTTGCACTTGCTCCCATCCCATCAGAGGTTTGAACACCAGAGGAGTGAAGCTGCCTTGATCAATGTTCTGAATTCTCTCCCCATATGCCCTTATCTTGTCGTTCGCGTTCCTCCTGTGTGCAGCATCGAGAGCTAAGTTACTGTGACATGCGGCCATGGGATAAAAAATCCTGATGTCGAATAAGGCTCGCTGTCCCCGCATCCAGAATCCTCGAGCACTGACGTCAACACGGGCTTCGTTGGATGTGTTTGAAGTCCTATGTTGGAAATTTTCACCGTTCAATGGAAGGAGGGTCGGTTCTACCCTGACATCACGACAGATTTCCTTCAACATATTTGCTGTGAGATCCCTTACTTCGTTATGCCTCATGCATGTGAAGCCCCCTTTCTTGCACACCATGGTGTGATCGACGTCATAGGAAAAGCCACACACGCATTGGGAGGGCAAACCTTCCACTGGCCTACCATACCTTAGAGCAATGGCGTTTGTAAATTCTTGTTTATTGAGACTGAAACAATTTGTCCTTATCTGTAACGCAGTTAACCAATTCGAGGCGCCCACATCCTGCACTATAGCTACTTTTTTTTTTCAAATTTTCTGGTACTTGCAGCATAAGTTGCTGCAACTTATCACTTTGGCCGTGCTGCTACCACTACTACTACTGCTACTGCTACTACTTCCTTCCCCAGATGATGACGGAGGAAGGTTGATACATACGTAGATAGACAACTGATTGGTAGCTAAACATAGAGAGAAAGGAAAGGAACTACTATACGTGGTAGTTTATGCTGTTTTTATTAGATGAAGAAAATGTCAGGCGGTGTAGTTGTAATTCTGTACTGACATGTATATAGGAACGATTGTGTAAGTGATAATATAATGTTTAAGTTATGAAATTCAACACCAGCAAGTGCAGCGTACTTAATATTGTAAAAACAAATACTGTAAAAGTATGCAGCCTTAACAACGTCGAACTGGAGAAGTCGACTTGTGAAAGGAACAAGCTTAGCAACTTTGTAGTAAGTGCTGGAACGCTGGAAAGTTTTAAAGGAAGGGTAGATAGATTCATAGACGATAGAGGGTGGTTGTAACTCCCGACAGGAGCTGCCATGCACAGGCCAACCGGCCTATTGCAGACTCCTTATTTTTTTAAGTAAATACCATCATTATAACCCGAACTAAACTTGGCTCAACCTAATCTAATCTAAGTCAAGTTTGGATAGTGAAGGACATCTTATATGACAGAGTAAATCTGACAGTAAAAAATTATTCAGGGAGTTATAATAATAACAAAATAGCCTTATGTAGTCCATTTTATTATGATTGTTATAGGATCTTATTCCTCTTGATCACGCGCCAGATTAATAATGAATATTTTGATAATGTACAACTCTTGACTCATGGTATTTTGATGTAACTATTGTACCTCATACTACTCGCTTGCCTTAACACTTATAAATCATTCTACTGAGCTTCACTGAGATCGATTTTCAGTGTTATAACACCAATTTATTCTGTACCATATGTCATATGCCAGTCTAAATGACACACTTTCGCAGACCATTTACAAAAATTTTGCCACATTATTCGAGGAGAGTGAGTGAGATGGATCTTAGTGGTAGTTGTATTCTTCATCGTCAGGCGCCGCAGCTGCCGCTGCTGCCTGTCTCTCGAAGGTCCTGAAAAATTCAGCCTTGGCGGCGGCCACCTCGGGTGTGTCGCTGATGTGGTTGACGCCGCCGTTGTAGCCATGGCTGGTCACGGGGACGGCGGGGACAGCGAAGGACTGGGAGGAGACAGGAGGAGTACTACCAATGTGACCAAAGGAAACAGTGTCCCGTACACCAGCCTGGGCGGTGTTGTAGTTGCTGGGGAAAGGATGTGAGGGGAGAGCATTGTTGTGGACCGGAGCGACGGGGTTGTAAAAGGATGCTGTGTTGTGGTGAGTGGTGCTAGTGGTGGACTGGGAGGCTGAAAAAGGTTCCTGGTAGACCTGAGATCCACCAGTTGCCGCTAGTTCGGCCTCAAACGCCCTGAAAAAGGCTTTTTTAGCTGCGGCGACTTCATTCGTATCGGAGACCGGGGTGACGGTGCCGTCTACACCTGCTGGAACAGTGGACGCAAAGGGACCCTTCCACTTGGGTTGGTCGAGAACCGCTGGGGAGCTGTTAGTCTGATGCTGTGGAGAACTGTAAACCTGCTGCTGGGGAGAGATGTGTGATTGTTGAGGGGCAACATTGTGGATCTGGTGCTGTGGAAAATTAAATGCTTGTTGTTGTATAGGGTTGTGAATGTGCACTTGAGAAGGGTTGTAAGTTTGCTGTGAAGGGTTAAATATTTGCTGTGGAGCTGAATTGTGAAACTGGTGGTGAGAGGGGTTGTAGGCCTGGTGGGGGAGGACGTTGTGTTGGGGCTGAGCAGCTCGGAATGTCTGGGAGAACCGAACTTTCTCTGCCGCCGCCTGTGACGCCCCAAGGAAGGGCACAGCCGAGCACACGCCCACCACTGCCAATATCACCTGAAACATGACAAAGATATTATGATGTAGTTTTCTTTTAACAATCTCTCTCTCTCTCTCTCTCTCTCTCTCTCTCCCCATATGAAACGTTAAAAAATAATGGAAATAATAAATGATGAACCTTAAGAAATGTGTAATATAAAGGACAGCGACAAACATACTAAACCATTTATAAACATAGACTCAAAACATCCAGACGCAATTTAACCAAAGCTGGTGTAGTAACCAAAGGCTGTTAGGTTTAGTTAACGTATGTCTGTTGCCATAGATAGTTTAACTTAGTAGCCTCAATAACTAGTGTTGGTAACTAGACAGAGACCCTAAGTTTGGATATCTAAACCATGAAGACCAAATCGGGTTGGTGTGTGGGGAGTTTCTTTATACGATACACAGACAGTCACTATACAGTACCCGGCTTGTAATAACAGACTGAGATTTAGAAACGAGTCTATGGCCACCACCGTATTGAACGTCACTCTGTATTTGTCAGTCTAATCTCAACTGAAAATAATATATATTAATTCCTCATAAACTATCACACAAGAGGATTGACAAATAATTAGTGAAGCCAAAACTGAATTAAAAATATTCCTTACGTATAAAAAAGTCTATCAGTCAGATCAAGAAGGACAAACATTGGGCTGGCTTAATACACTCTAACATTCGTTGACTTTCACCACCGATGTTTTTATCAGAATAGTAGTAAAGAAATCGATGTCAAATTGATTTTCGATGTTTCAGAGAGTTATAAACAGCTTAGCCTTAACGTGGAGGTCGAGTGTATCCTGTCGTTGTGTAGAAAGCTTAACGTACGAAATTACCTGAATGAAATTGTACTAAAACTGGACAATAAAATATTAAAGTAACAAAAAACAGACTAACCACCTAAATACTTCTAAGATAATATGCGGTAGAAGTGAAAAATCATATATATTATCTTAACACATTTTACATTTTCTTAACATTATCTGTCTAACATAACAATAACACCTTCATACCTGTTAACCTTGATTATTATGTCCGTATCTTTTTCTTATTTATAATTTACTGTAATAACTCTGGACATGACAAGACTGTAAGTGTTTTAAATGTCTCTTGCCTCTGTGCTAATTTACTGCCTTGTTTTCATTTTGTGTTGTTGATAATACGAAGACAAACCGGAATTAATTTTTCCAAAGATAAAGAAACATTAAAATAAAAAGAGAAAATATATATCATATGGATCCTACTACTAATAATAACAATAATAATGTAAGAAAACTATAAAAATACATATTTTCACCATACTGTAATGTTAAAATTATAAAATAAAACATCACGAAAATGACAATAATACAACTAACAACAGAATAAAAACAGTAATAATAACAATGGACAAAATGAATGTAGTGACAATTTAGTTTTTCTTTACTTTAGCTACACGACAAACACCACGTAGAAGAAATGATATAGTTACCAGGTTCTTCATGACGAATGTGTGTGTGTGTGTGAGGGTGGGTGGAACGTCACTGTGCTGAGGTCGTTCATCATGCGCTTTTTATACCACACCAGCCACCATGACTTAGCAGCAGAGGGAGAGTGATATACGTCTGTCCGACCCTGAGGTTGTCTAGGCCATGGGGATGTAAATTTTTATGGAATGTTGCCTCTAGGGGTGTGGCCCTGGGGATATAAGGGTATGGTCCTGAAGATGTGGTCTTTAGGGACTATAGGATATTTTGGGGGGAATGGCTTAGGGAATCTGCCCTTCATAGAAACAATGAGTTTAGGGATGCGGACTCTTGGGGGGTGTGGCATTAAAGGGGATGGCCCTAAGGGGGGGTGAGGGGAGGAGACCTGACAATGAGGGTCTAAATGAGTGCTTCCCTTGATCCAGAAAGTGAACCACGTAGAGTTAGGGTCGTGGGAATGTGATAATGTGATGTGTTTTACAGATCTTGAGAATGCGACCCTGAGAGAGAGAGAGAGAGAGAGAGAGAGTGAGTTGGCTCTACACTGAGTGTGTAACGCTAAAGATGTGACCCCTAGAGATGTGTGGTACGGGGGATGCGTGATACTAGAGGTGGATGGTACTAGAGGTATGTGGAACTAGGGTTGTGTGGTACTAGGGGTATGTGGAACTAGGGTTGTGTGGTACTAGGGGTATGTGGTGCTAGGGGTGTGTGGTACTAGGGGTGTGTGGTGCTAGGGTTGTGTGGTACTAGAGGTATGTGGAACTAGGGTTGTGTGGTACTAGGGGTGTGTGGTACTAGGGGTGTGTGGTACTAGGGGTGTGTGGTGCTAGGGGTGTGTGGTACTAGGGGTGTGTGGCTAGGGGTGTGTGGTGCTAGGGATGTGTGGTACTAGGGGTGTGTGGTGCTAGGGGTGTGTGGTACTAGGGGTGTGTGGTGCTAGGGGCGTGTGGTACTAGGGGTGTGTGGTACTAGGGATGCGTGATACTAGAGGTGGGTGGTACTAGAGGTGTGTGGAACTAGGGGTGCGTGGTACTAGGGGTGCCTGGTACTAGGGATATGTGGAGTAACCCAAGGTTCAGTATTTGGACCATTATTATTTATTATATACATAAACGACATAGTTATAGGCGTAGACAGCAACATAAGTAAATTTGCTGACGTCACTAAAATAGGGCATAAAATTTTATCTAACGAAGACTCCACAAAACTACAGGAAGATAAAAAAAAATTTCGAGTGGTCTGAAAAATGGCAGATGAAATTTAATATAGACAAATGTGAAGTATCTAGTCTAGGAAATGTAAACAGAGAAACCAGATACCAGATGAACAAATATGTTATAGAGAAACCCAACTGTGAGAAAGATTTAGGAGTAATGATTAGTAGGGATCTTAAACCTAGTAAACAATGTGTATTTGCTCGAAACAAGTCTAACAAAGTACTTGGGTTCGTACAAAGGAGTGTTAGTTAAAAAACTAGCGAGGTCATCCTAAAACTATATCTTGCTCTTGTGAGATCTCACTTGGATTTCGCAGTTCTGTTCTGGTCACCGTACTACAGAATGGATATAAAATCCCTCGAAAGAATTCAAAGGAGAATGACAAGACTAATCCTGGGCATAAGGAACCTTGAGTACAGAGACAGGTTAAAGCATCTTAATCTGTACTCCCTCGAGAGACGTAGAGTGAGGGGCGATATGATCGAGGTGTATAAAAGGAAGTTAGGGCTAAACAAAGGTAACATAGCAAAGGTACTCCAACTATCCAAGCAGGAACGAAAGGTTTTAAATTAGACACATTTAGATTTAGGCGCGAGAAAGGTAAACATTGGTTTGGAAATGGAGTAGTGGATGAGTGGAACAAGTTACCAAACATCCTCATTAACTCGAATACGCTGTATAGCTTCAAACATAGGTTGGCTGGATATATGAGCAATAGGGGTTGAGTGAAAATGGGACTGCCTAGTTTGGGCCAATAGGCCCGCTGCAGTTTCCTCCATTCTTATGTTCTTATGCTCTTGCGGTGTGTGGTACCAAGGGTGTGTAATACCTAGAGGATGTGACACTGACGGCATGTGGCAATAGGGGGTGTGGCACTAATAGGCTGTGACACTATTGTTGTGTGACACTATGTGTGTTAGACACTATGAGTGTGTGGCGCTATAGGTGTGGTATTAGGGATGCCTACCATTATGGGTGTGTGGAACTAGAGGTGTATGGTACTAGCGGTACGTAACACTGTTGTTGTGTTGTGTGCCATTAAAGGTGTGTGACACTAATGGTGGGTGGCACTAGGCACAGGGAGTGTGGCTTTAATGATGTGTGGCACTAGTGTTTGTTACTAGAGGGTGTGTGGCACAAGGAGTGTGTGGTAATAAGAATAAGTTGACGTAACTCACAACAAGTATTGACTCACATCAGCTCAAATCCACTACCATAAGATTTCAAACGAACCCTAAACATTCAGGTTTCCCGTTTGTCTATTATCTTCTGCATCTTCGTCTGGTCGGTCCACCTCTTCACACTCAAACATATAAGCTTGTGGCTCGCTGATTCTAACTCATGTTATCCCAGACAAAATAAAAGTAACAACGCCAGCAAACACTACAATTAAGCCTGTGTTTATAATCAACGTTTTCAGATGACAAAATCTAAAAGCTTCCCAAGGTCTCTAAGGAGAAGAACTCTATGGTGACTACTCTAAGTAAATACCCCAGGGACGAAGGGGGGAGCCACAACCAGCGTCTTCGATTCTGTTCTTAATTATAATCTCTTGGTGTACTCAGGCATGGACGTCGATGTCTTGTACTTTTCTCAGACATTCCACTAACAGGTACACTTCTAGGCAAGATAAGATTCCCTCTCAACATATCCATTTTCCTCTTTCATTCTCTATTCCTCTATACTAACTCCTACCCATCACTCTTACTGTCTTCACATTTCACTGTTTTGCCAAATTGTTCTATCACTCAAGTGGGTAAAGTTTACTCCACCACAAGATCGTAACGGTAAAAGGTGAGAGCATGTGATTAAATCCTCTCTCGGTCTTCATACGGTAATTACTGTTCCTGTACTTCACATCTAAACCTCTGAACTTTCTGAATCTCACATAACAGTTTTCATGGTCAGGCGTTGTCATGTACCCAACACAGGCTGACATTTAGTTATTCTTACATAACATTGCCAAAAATAATGTCCCCTTTTTTGTATGGGTCTTGAACCCCCCACCAAAAAAAAATAATGATGATTTTAGGGTGACTAATCGACGGTCGTTGTACTCTAGAATTGTTTTACCAAGAGTGCTAAGGGAGGCTGAAGATCCTGAGGGCTGTCACACACGCACTTTCCACAAACAGCGTAATTAATAAGATACTCTCTCTCTGGCATGTGAATTTGAAATTTGAAGTCCATTAAAATCACTAATTATAGCAGAGTATATCACGTCATTCACCGATCCTCTCAGTTACAGCACAACACCTCGTACCGACTGTGAGTGATATCATTACGATCACCACCACCACAACACCTGAACCTCACCTAAGAGGGACGGTGGAATTTAATCCTACTTTTCACACGAGTCACTGTCAGATTTTTCTACCCGGAAGAAATTACCTTGTGGCTTACGATATCCTGACGTGATGTAACTTACAATTGTTGAGAACGAATGTATTTGATATTTGGTCTGACGTAAACACACATAATGGTCCCTTACTGGGAGCCTCCGGAATCAGTCAAATCTATCTATCTATCTGTCCGTCCGTCCAGACGGTTAGGTTGGGTTGGGATTTATGTTGTGTTCAGGAAATCCTGTGATGCAAAGAACTAAAACCTAAAAAAAATTATTTCGTATGACGTTAAGTCCCCTTGCTGTAGCCTTTTGTTTAATATTATTCTGCATAGCATCTGATTAATGTTCGAGGTTCACTATTAACTTCCTTTGCTGTAGCAGCCAAGGAGGAGTCAGACCGTCCTCAACAATCCAAAACACAATTAAGGGAAAATACATCTTTAACCTTACCTTTGTGGCTTCTCTTCTTAAACTCCTTAGATGATCTAAGGTCAGTGTCAAGCAGTAGCCAGGCCAAGCAAGTGGACACTATGATCATGTTGGACCTTTATCATTAAGAATGGGAGTAGACTGTTTATCCTAGATAGTTCATTAAGACCTGCAACATTGGTTCATTGTCACCTGGTTGGAATTTGAGGACAAGTTGTTGTGTGGGAGTGAAAGACTGGAGAGATTTGTGTTCAAAAGGATATCTGAGGCTACTGTAATTAATCGCCTTTTGAGGGTCAATAAGTGCACGGAATAGATTGGTAGGTTTGGCATAATTTAATTTCAAAAATTTTGTTCCAGATGTACATATGCTTTTATATATTGTTCATGTTATTGGCTTAATTACGACAGTACGGCTCAGTAGTAACGGGATGGTGGTGCTGCTGCTGCTGCCTGCCTCTGGTAAGTGTTGTGGAAAGAGTGCTTGGCGGCGGCCACTTCAGGGGTGTCGGCTACCTGGTTGGTGGATCCGGGGAGGCCAGCGGGGATAGTTGAAGCCAAGGGGCCGGTCCACTTGGGCTGGTAGGAGGGGGCGGGCCTGTAGGAGGGAGCAGCCTGGTATTGGACAGCGCCTCCGTGAGGACGGGGAGCAGCACCTAAAGTGGCAGCCACCTGTGACCTGTAGGTGTTGAAGAAGGTATTGCGAGCGGCAGCAACGTCCCTGGTGTCAGACACAGGGGTGAGGGTACCGTCAACGCCGGCGGGGACTGTGGCAGCTACCGGACCCGTCCACTTGGGCTGAGCCGGGGTATGGGTATACTGGGGAGGGTTGTAGTGGCTGGTGCCGTAGCGAGTAGGAGTGTAGTGGCCGGTGTCGTGAGATTGGTGAGGTGAGGGGAACCTTGGCAAAGCGGCGGCTTCAGCAGCCTTGAAAGCCTGGAAGAAACGAGCCTTTTCTGCCGCCACATCTGGATTGTCTGGAATGAATGGGAAAGCGGAGCACACGCCCACCACTGCCAAAACAACCTGAATAAAGGAAATACGTATCTTAGTTGTGATAAAAGTGATTTTAAAGAACAATACAGCTTGTTTA